AGAAACCAGCAGTTTTAACTTAATAAAGAAAACACACAATTGTTTTGATTGCAGCTGAACAATCTCTTATTTCAAGAGAAAACCATTAAAATATGATCGCTTTAAATTTCAACCTCAACAGCGAAGTTCAGATCAAGTAACGTGGAAATTACAGTTGTAGGGGAAACAAATATTTTCAGAAAAATCATGAGATTTGGATTGGGGATTAAAAACGAAATCAGGGGGGTAGCAATCTTCGATGGCGACCAACTGCGCTACAGATGGTGATTATACCATTATCACAGATGTATACATTTAAACTTCGTATGATGAAAATATGAGGCAAAAGCAGTTATATACTCATTTTAAGAAGATGGTAATTCATTATCTCTCAAACCTAGCGGACATAGTTAAAACTAAATTTCTGCCTTATTTCGTATACTAAAACTGAGCGAATATTTGTAACTAGCCAGTCAAACGAGTTATAAACGGAAGAATAGGCCTTACTTAAGCCAAACGTGGAGGAAAAGGAAAAAATGATCGTGGAGCGCGAGTTGAGAGTTCAGGCTCTGGGTTGAAAAGACATCGAGGTAAGCGAATACTATATTCAATATCGTGCAAGCTTATCCGGAAATAACCTAAAATTCTCAAAAACACCTGCTGGCGTTAGAGAAAAACTTTCAAGCCAAAAAATCGGCATAATTCCTTGGTTCTCGTCTTGTTGTTGTCCAAATATAACTAAGGGTGGATTTCCACCGTCGCGTAATTTTAACCCAAGCGTACGCGCGTGAAATTACGTGCGTATCATAAAATAAAGGCAACATATGAGAGGTTGCGAGTAAACGAAAAAGTTCAGAGCGTGACCTGAGTATACATCAGCCTTGTTTTTCTTTCTTTTACGTTTAATGAGAAAATGATGAGAATTTTTCTTTGGAAGGCATACGAGAGGGGTACCTTTTCCGTCAAAAATGTTATATAAAAGGGTTGGACCTCGAGGCGGAATGGCCCTCTCCGTCTTTGTTGAGTAGTCCCCCGGGGTGTGGCAGGCGGTCAAAGAGATTTCGGGGATGTCCTACCCCTTCCCTCTCGAACTGCCCTGCAGGTTAGTTTGTCGCTGTGGTTTTGCCTGTAAAAGCGACATTAGTGGCTTTAGCTTTTTTAAAACCGTGGGCAATCTACGTCCTGAATTACCCTCGATATAAAATCACCTTTTTTAGTTTCGGTTAAAATAACTATGGCAAATTTATTTCTCTATGACAAAACGGCAGCAAAGCTGATACTAGAAAATGAGTCCCCGCCCGCTAAGAGTGAATAATCAGATTATTCTCTCTTGCCGGAATAAATGCCGTGCCATTTTTCCAGCTGCATAGCAGCGATAAGACGGAAAACGGTGCATCAAACTGCTCAGGGCGTTCAGATGGTGTGGAACGAGGCAAGTGCAGAATGGAGGTGAGGGGATTCGCCGGTAAAACCTCGGGTCAGGGAAAATGGTTCCTTTGCGCTTCATTCGAGCACATCCGCACACCATTAGATCCAGAGTAAGGGGGTAATTACATGGGACCGGGACGAACTCGGACCGGTATGAGTTCGTATCGCTCTCCATACATTTCTTTTCATGCATTTACATGGACCGGCCTAAAAACGAACTCAGAGCGGTCTGACTTACGAGTTTATGGTATTATTCAACCCATAAACTCATGAATAAAAATTACCGTATTTACCCGCGGATAGGCCGCACCCCAAACTTTCAATGGTTTTCATGGGAAAAAAAAATAGTGCGGTCGAGTACCGGGATAAATAAAGCGAAGTTTGAAATCAACAACAGCTAATGCGTATCAAGTCAAATTTATTTTTGACAATAATTTCAACATGAACATGAAAATATTCAAACTATAAACTGAAACTTCTTTTCGCTAACATTTTATATACAGAATACTTAAAGACAAAATCAAGATTCTTCGAAGATATGGACTTAGTGTTTAGTTGTATGTGTTGTAAGTTAGTAACAATTGAAAGCGAACATTAAGACGCCAATTTAGTGTACGACCGTGAGATCTCTTGCATATTAATGAGGTGCCAAAACGCTTGTACCCGCGTATAGGCGGCAACCCTAATTTCGGTCCCATTTTTTCGGGAAAAAAGTGCGGCCTATCCGCTTGGAAATACGGTACTTGTAAAATTACTTTCATCCGCCTTGCGGTGCAATAACCCACGCCACGGCAAACCTTATCAAGGCACAATAACAAGAATATATTTAAGGGAACTGCCAAAAAACTAAAACTAATTCTGTTTGGATTGTATTAAATTTTGCAATGTGAAATTCTTTAATTTTCTAGCATTGATATTTGATTCCCTATTCCGTTTCCGTTTCCGGATTCTGGATTCCATGTTTTAGTGCTGCCCTGAGTTTTCCAACTGCGTGAATTCATCACTTGAAAAACTCATAAAGGATTTAAGTGATATCTATTCTGAGACAAGGAATGTTTAGATAGCAAAATCTCCAAAAACTGGTATATGGGTATGTGCCGCCCAAGGGGTCGTGATTTTGAAACTCCTGATTTAGAACGGGGTATCCATTTCAGAGGCGTTTTCTAGAACGGGGTATAATATTTCGAACGCACGAAAGCTCCAGTTTTTTAAGCAGCCATTTGAAATTATAATCCGGTTCAATGCGTTAACAAGCAAACTGTTGTACTCTTGTTGCACCCTAGAACGTAGTATAAGAAATTGGCCCGTTTCTAGAACGGGGTATCAGTTTTAGGGCGAATTCTAGAACGGGGTATAAAAAATTGGTCCATTTCTAGAACGGGGTATCAATTTTAGGGGAATTTTTTTTTCAGAACGGGGTGCCAATTTGGAGTTCCGGGCGGCACATACCCACCCAAAAAATACCCGAGTGCCCCCCCGCCCTCCCCGGGCGTCACGCAAAAGTCTAGAAATTCAAGAGCGTCCTCGATCGCAAAACGAAGAACCCTTTCGAACCAAAACTTTGTTTAAATAAGGGTGTCTAGGTGCTGTAATACCTTATGAATCTCAGAAATTCAGAAGAATCGATCGTTTAGTAGTCTGAATTTGGTGACGTCATGTGGAAAACCGAGATAAAGTGACGTCATCATCAATAGTGAGAAAGTAGCTTAAGCCTGGGTACGAGGTTGATAATTCCCGCGTAAAGTTACATCAGCCTCGTCCCCAAGCTGCGTTCCAGAAGAAGAAGGACAAACGATGGCTTCGAGTTCCAGGTACGATTCTTTTTTCTTTTCCTTCCTCATAGGTTATCAATGTATGATAACAACAAGTAGCCGACTAATATTTGTCTAAGTAGTATTCTTCAGCAAAGAAAGTTTTAGATGTGGTGGGACATTGTCTTATACGTTGTTTGTACGGCGCGCACGAATAATTGGAACATAAACATGCCGTTTGAAATGAAATGAACTAAACCCTGGAATACCGGAAAAACTTATCCGCCGTATTTGTGATGTGGAAGGAATCTAAGTCCTGTGAATGAGAAACGACGTGATTTATGTGGGAATGTATCATAAGATCGTTAATACAGTGAAATTCAAATAAGCTGCCATTTAAGTGTACATACCTCATAAAGAGATGTCTCTGTGTTGTTTTCTTACTGTTTCCTGCCCTATAAACGTCATTTTAGCAAGTTTTGATGTTTATCGATCTCACTTTATGCTATTAAATATACCTTCGAGGAGGCTGTTGTCAGTCTGGGGTCCTGTGGTCAAGCTTCCTTCAACTACCTAATGAACTAAATTCATGGCTGAGTGCAGAGTGAGCAAGATCAGAAAATTAATAGACAGATTGGCTATCAGTGAGATAATTCTTTAAATTTTTTTTAAAAACAAATATAGAAGGAGAGCTAATTAGTGAAATAGGCAACAAATTCCAGATTTTAGGTCCTCGGTAAAGGATACTGAATTGCTTTATATTTTTTCTACAAAAATGAGGTCTATATACTGAGAGGCTAGTCGAGTTTCGTATTGATGGACTTGATTGCTACTGAAGAACAAGTCACAAAAGCTACTAGGCAAAAGATTATGGTGATAAGAACACATAAAATTTTCTGTCGATAAAATCAATGGGAAAATCAAAGCAGTATCCCGAATACCATAGTGTTGCAGTTTTGACACAATGTTTGGGATGCCTAAAAACTGAAGATATGTTGTTTAACAAGTCAATTAAAGCTAATGCAGTCAAATGATTATTACGGAATCTAAATTGTTTCGAGTATAAAATATTATGCAAATTTAACAAATTAATCAGTCGGTTGTACATGACTTTTTCAAAGAGTTTAGAAAAGGCTGGAAGAATTGATATTGGCCTGTGGTTACTAAAAAGTATTGGGTCATCTGCCTTAAAAACTGGAATCACTTTGGCTATTTTGGGAGATTCAGGAAACACACCAGTAGACAACAAAGTGTTTATAATGGTTACAAGAGGCTGCGCAATATTTTGGAAAGACTGATGTATTATCTTCATGGATATATTATCATGTCCAAGAGCTTTGTGAGCGTTGAACAATTTGACAATATTGTTTAATTCACAACCGTTAGTGATTGCAATGAAATGGATTCAGAAAGAGAGCTGCTCGAGAAATCCTTGGATGATGAATTTGTGGAAGGAATTTTGCTCGCCAAATTTGGCCCTATATTGGTGAAGTATTCCCAGAAATTATTGGCAATGTCAGTAGGATTGCTAATTTCCATTCCATTTTTTGGTGAAGTTTGCAGGATACGGTGATTTAGCGTTTTTTCACTTCATTGTGAATTTTCCATGTTCGCTTTAAGTTAGATCTAGCCTTATCCAATTTGTTGTCATAATAATTTTTCCTGGCGACATGAACAAGACAACTTAGCTTATTTCTAAATGACTTATAGTTGGATTCACGCTCATGACTTGGTTTCCTTAGGAATAATTTATACAGCCTAGACTCTGTTTTAATTGATTTCAAGATTCCAGTTGTAAGCCACAGATTATGCAGAGTTTTAGGTTTTTCCCTTGATAAAACTTTACCGGAAAACTCTTGTTATAAAATTCAGTACATTTTTGTAGGAACCCATTGTAAGCGGCGTTTTCATCACGAATTCACACAAAAGGTTGTTAAATGCATTAATATTCTGACTAGAGAAGTTGGGAATGGCAACACTTTCCTTAGACTTAATTGTTGAAGAATGAACTTCACTGTAACAGAGTGTGAAGATTGGTACATGGTCAGACAGATCATTAATAACAAGTCCATTGTCACACGAGGTAGAAATGTTGTTAGTAAAATTGTTATCAATCAGGGTGGCGCTGTACGAAGTAAGTCGAGTTGGTCTTGAAATTAGTGGGTAAAGAAAATGAGAAAATAACGCATTAATAAACTCATTCGTAGCTGAATGCAAATCAGTGTTAAGAAGCCCTAACACATTATGTAACACATTTTATTGTCCCTGGTTACCTGGTCAAGCAATTGCTGAGGAGATTAATCAAAAGATTAATGCAATAAGCATGGAGTCAAATGACATCAATTATTTTTCAGTACTGAATGTTAGGTGAGCTCCATACAAACATTGAAATGTTTCTGTTTTCTGTCCTAGAAAAGCAAGGAAAAGAGAAAGGTTGTCATGTTGCTGGTTGGGTATCGTATAGTGCTACAATTGTTTTTAAATTTATTTTCCAGGCTTTTACTTATCGATAGACTGCATCATACTGAAAACACAACAACAAACAAGGATGAAAATAATGTTATCAACATTTTGTTGCAACTAAAAATAGTAAATAGTGTAAAGTAAAGCAATTGCATGTTGGTTTTTTTTAAGAACAATTTATCAGTAGTATTTGGTAGTTTCAAAAACTCATTTGCTCCTTCACTTAATGTTGAAATCCTAAGCAAATTGTCAGCTGGTTTCTGAAAAAATTTGTTGCCCAGTGCCTAGCTCTCCAGTTTTACCCAGTGGTCAGTGTATTTTGGATGGGCCATGTGATGCCTTTCATCTAGGTTAAATCACCAGAATGAATTCACTATGAGGGCCTGGGGAAGGTTGTACAAGTACAATAAAACAACAGGCTACAGAGATTACCAGACACCTGGTATCTTCAACTACATATTTACAGTGCTGACAGAATTGTAGTTGTCTTGTATTCTGTTGCTTCATGTTTTTGTATGGCATCTTCTGTGAAATGGTTCTTTTTCTAATGCTGTACTTCTGCTGTTCCATAGTCGAGGGCTAGGTCCTCTAGTCCAGCAATAGCTTAAGTTCAATGGTGCCTCAGTACTGTAAGTACTGTAAGTTCAGTGTATGTATTGTGTCTCAGTGTAATGTGCAGTTCTTTTTATAATGTTGTGGTTCTGCAGTTCCATAGTTAAGGGCTAGGTGCTCTAGTTCTACCATGACTCTGGTTCAGTGGTTCCTCAGTATCGTAAGTGCTCTGTATGTATTGTGTCTCTGTGTAATGTCCTGTTCTTTGTCTCATGCTGTGGTTCTGCGGTTCCATAGTTAAGGGCTAGGTTCTCTAGTTCTACCACGACTTTGGTTCAGTAGTTCCTCGGTATCGTGAGTGCAGTGTACGTATTGTGTCTCTGTGCATTGTCTATTTCTTGTTCTTATGTTGTGGTTCTGCGGTTCCATAGTTAAGGACTAGGTGCTCTAGTTCTACCACGACTTTGGTTCAGTGGTTCCTCAATATCGAGAGTACAGTGTATGTATTGTGTCCCTGTGTAATGTGCAGTTCTTTTTGTAATGCTGTGATTCTGCAGTTCCATAGTTAAGGGCTAGGTTCTCTAGTTCTGCCACGACTTTGGTTCGGTGGTTCCTCGGTATCTTAAGTACAGTGTATGTATTGTGTCCCTGTGAAATGTGCAGTTCTTTTTGTAATGCTGTGGTTCTGCAGTTCCATAGTTAAGGGCTAGGTTCTCTAGTTCTACCACGACTTTGGTTCGGTGGTTCCTCGGTATCGTAAGTACAGTGTATGCATTGTGTCTCTGTGTAATGTGCAGTTGTTTTTATAATGTTGTGGTTCTGCAGTTCCATAGTTAAGGGCTAGGTTCTCTAGTTCTACCACGACTTTGGTTCGGTGGTTCCTTGGTATCGTAAGTACAGTGTATGTATTGTGTCTCTGTGTAATGTGCAGTTGTTTTTATAATGTTGTGGTTCTGCGGTTCCATAGTTAAGGGCTAGGTGCTCTAGTTCTACCACGACTTTGGTTCGGTGGTTCCTCGGTATCGTAAGTACAGTGTATGTATTGTGTCTGTGTAATGTGCAGTTCTTTTTATAATGTTGTGGTTCTGCAGTTCCATAATTAAGGGCTAGGTTCTCTAGTTCTACCACAACTTTGGTTCAGTAGTTCCTCGGTATCATAAGTACAGTGTACTTATTGTGTCTGTGTAATGTGCAGTTCTTTTTATAATGTTGTGGTTCTGCGGTTCCATAGTTAAGGGCTAGGTTCTCTAGTTCCACCACGACTTTGGTTCGGTGGTTCCTCGGTATTGTAAGTACAGTTTATGTATTGTGTCCCTGTGTAATGTGCAGTTGTTTTTGTAATGTTGTGGTTCTTCGGTTCCATAGTTAAGGGCTAGGTTCTCTAGTTCTTCCACGACTTTGGTTCGGTGGTTCCTCAGTATCGTAAGTACAGTGTATGTATTGTGTCCCTGTGTAATGTTCAGTTCTTTTTATAATGTTGTGGTTCTGCGGTTCCATAGTTAAGGGCAGGGTTCTCTAGTTCCACCACGACTTTGGTTCGGTGGTTCCTCGGTATTGTAAGTACAGTGTATGTATTGTGTCCCTGTGTAATGTGCAGTTGTTTTTGTAATGCTGTGGTTCTTCGGTTCCATAGTTAAGGGCTAGGTTCTCTAGTTCTTCCACGACTTTGGTTCGGTGGTTCCTCAGTATCGTAAGTACAGTGTATGTATTGTGTTCCTGTGTAATGTGCAGTTCTTTTTATAATGTTGTGGTTCTGCGGTTCCATAGTTAAGGGCTAGGTTCTCTAGTTCCAGCATGACTTTGGTTCGGTGGTTCCTCGGTATTGTAAGTACAGTTTATGTATTGTGTCCCTGTGTAATGTGCAGTTGTTTTTGTAATGCTGTGGTTCTGCAGTTCCATAGTTAAGGGCTAGGTTCTCTAGTTCTGACACAACTTTGGTTCGGTGGTTCCTTGGTATCGTAAGTACAGTGTATATATTGTGTCTCTGTGTAATGTGCAGTTGTTTTTATAATGTTGTGGTTCTGCGGTTCCATAGTTAAGGGCTAGGTGCTCTAGTTCTACCATGACTTTGGTTCAGTGGTTCCTCGGTATCATAAGTACAGTGTACGTATTGTGTCTGTGTAATGTGCAGTTTTTTTATAATGTTGTGGTTCTGCGGTTCCATAGTTAAGGGCTAGGTGCTCTAGTTCTACCACGACTTTGGTTCGGTGGTTCCTCGGTATCGTAAGTACAGTGTATGTATTGTGTCCCTGTGAAATGAGCAGTTCTTTTTGTAATGCTGTGGTTCTGCAGTTCCATAGTTAAGGGCTAGGTTCTCTAGTTCTATCAGGACTATGGTTCGGTGGTTCCTCGGTATCGTAAGTACAGTGTATGCATTGTGTCTCTGTGTAATGTGCAGTTGTTTTTATAATGTTGTGGTTCTGCGGTTCCATAGTTAAGGGCTAGGTTCTCTAGTTCTAACACAACTTTGGTTCGGTGGTTCCTTGGTATCGTAAGTACAGTGTATACATTGTGTCTCTGTGTAATGTGCAGTTGTTTTTTAGAATGTTGTGGTTCTGCGGTTCCATAGTTAAGGGCTGGGTTCTCTAGTTCTACCATGACTTTGGTTCGGTGGTTCCTCGGTATCGTAAGTACAGTTTATGTATTGTGTCCCTGTGTAATGTGCAGTTCTTGTTGTAATGCTGTGGTTCTGCAGTTCCATGGTTAAGGGCTAGGTGCTCTAGTTCTACCACAACTTTGGTTCAGTGGTTCCTCGGTATCATAAGTACAGTGTACGTATTGTGTCTGTGTAATGTGCAGTTCTTTTTATAATGTTGTGGTTCTGCGGTTCCATAGTTAAGTGCTAGGTTCTCTAGTTCTACCACGACTTTGGTTCTGTGGTTCCTCGGTATTGTAAGTACACTTTATGTATTGTGTCCCTGTGTAATGTGCAGTTGTTTTTATAATGCTGTGGTTCTTCGGTTCCATAGTTAAGGGCTAGGTTCTCTAGTTCTTCCACGACTTTGGTTCGGTGGTTCCTCAGTATCGTAAGTACAGTGTATGTATTGTGTCCCTGTGTAATGTGCAGTTCTTTTTATAATGTTGTGGTTCTGCGGTTCCATAGTTAAGGGCTAGGTTCTCTAGTTCTACCACAACTTTGGTTCAGTGGTTCCTCGGTATCGTAAGTACAGTGTATGTATTGTGTCCCTGTGTAATGTGAAGTCCTTTCTATAATGTTGTGGTTCTGCAGTTCCATAGTTAAGGGCTAGGTTCTCTAGTTCTACCACAACTTTGGTTCAGTGGTTCCTCGGTATCGTAAGTACAGTGTATGTATTGTGTCCCTGTGTAATGTGAAGTTCTTTTTATAATGTTGTGGTTCTGCAGTTCCATAGTTAAGGGCTAGGTTCTCTAGTTCTACCACGACTTTGGTTCGGTGGTTCCTCGGTATCGTAAGTACAATGTATGTATTGTGTCCCTGTGTAATGTGCAGTTGTTTTTGTAATGTTGTGGTTCTGCGGTTCCATAGTTAAGGGCTAGGTTCTCTAGTTCTTCCACGACTTTGGTTCGGTGGTTCCTCAGTATCGTAAGTACAGTGTATGTATTGTGTCCCTGTGTAATGTGCAGTTGTTTTTGTAATGTTGTGGTTCTGCGGTTCCATAGTTAAGGGCTAGGTGCTCTAGTTCTACCACGACTTTGGTTCGGTGGTTCCTCAGTATCGTAAGTACAGTGTATATATTGTGTCCCTGTGTAATGTGCAGTTCTTTTTATAATGTTGTGGTTCTGCGGTTCCATAGTTAAGGGCTAGGTTCTCTAGTTCTACCACAACTTTGGTTCGGTGGTTCCTCGGTATTGTAAGTACAGTGTACGTATTGTGTCTGTGTAATTTGCAGTTCTTTTTATAATGTTGTGGTTCTGCGGTTCCATAGTTAAGGGCTAGGTTCTCTAGTTCTACCACGACTTTGGTTCGGTGGTTCCTCGGTATTGTAAGTACAGTGTATGTATTGTGTCCCTGTGTAATGTGCAGTTGTTTTTGTAATGCTGTGGTTCTTCGGTTCCATAGTTAAGGGCTAGGTTCTCTAGTTCTTCCACGACTTTGGTTCGGTGGTTCCTCAGTATCGTAAGTACAGTGTATGTATTGTGTTCCTGTGTAATGTGCAGTTCTTTTTATAATGTTGTGGTTCTGCGGTTCCATAGTTAAGGACTAGGTTCTCTAGTTCTACCACAACTTTGGTTCGGTG